TATCCCTCTACCCCCTCCCTCCCCAAATCGCCCTGTATCCCCCTATCCCCCATCCCCCTATTCCCCTATACCCAACCTCCCACCTCCACACCAACCCCAATCCACACCTCCCCTGCCTTTTTCTTTCCCCGCGATCAAAAGCGCAAAGTTAATAAAGGAACAAAAATAAATAACACAGCTGATCGAATACATTTTTATAACAATAAATGGCGATAATAATATTATGTTATCTTTAAGTACTACTCATATGACTACAACTGATAATAATAATTATTACAATAATAATGAAAATAATATTGGTAATATTTTAAAACAGTTTTAATGATAAAATGGTGATTTTTTTTCTTCTTTGAGGATCTCCGTCTTCAACTGAGTGTCTTTGTTTTCTCGGGTGGTGACGCCTGTTTGATGTATCACCGTCTTTGAAAGAGTATCCCCGTCCTTTAGAATGGTGACGTCTCTTCTGAGTATCTCAGCCTTTAATCGGGTATCTCAGTCTTCCCGTTAAGTGAAATTTGTTATTGTACTGAGTATATTATCTGTCTGTAATTGAATATTCTGTATTCAAATGAATATATTTGTCTTTGATTAAGTATTCCTGTATCTTTGTTTTCTCACCAGATCACGTGTTTTAAGTACACGTCTCCTTCTATCTGAAGTTACGGGGTAATCTTTCTCTGCTCGGGATCAGCCCGAAGAAAATAGCGGGTGGTTGGCATGTGATCTAGTGTGATTTGCTCCTTCTTTCCTATGAAACATCTATCACTCTTATCCTTCCTCCGTTTTGTGTGTGTTTGTAAGTCTCTTGTAACACCTCTAATCATTGGCACTTTATTGACCTTATCGTGCTGCAAGTGCCGCAAACTCCTACTAAAGCTTAAATGTTATTACAACTCTAATCTTCGGCACTTATACTAGCTAATTGTGTTGCAAATACCGCAAAACGCTTACAAAAACGAAAGAAGACAAATAGGGCTCTGCCTTTGAAACGACCTCTTTGTCTAAAGTGGGACTTTAACTCCTACCAACATTGGGAAATAATGGAAAAAGATGGAGCTAAAGCTAAAACCAAAAAGCGTTTTGCGCTAATCAGATGGTTTCAATTTGATGGGGGGATCCTGGATGAAGAGAGAGAAACAAAACAACAAAAATCAAAACAAATCAAAGTTGCCCTTTTGCCAACACTTGGCGGTTTTCAGGTTACACAAAACTATAGCTCCATTTATGTTCCCTCTGCTACTCGTAGATCTCAGGGGTGGTGGCTGGCGTTTTTAATGTGTCGGTCAGGCACTTCGCCATGGCACACAGGAGGCACAAGTTCGAATCCCGTCTAGGGACAATTTTATATATAGTACATCTCTCTTTCTGTTGACACTTATATCCTTCTCAGCCTGGGCTGATCCTGACAGGCAGCATCGAAGCCTGCCTCCAAAATGATCTAAAGTGTGTTGATGGAGGCGCAAAAATACCAACATTTTTTCATATAGGACGGTGCCTGTCAGCCTGTGTATACTTTTAAGAGGCTGCAATGCAGGTGGTTGGAGGGTACCACAGGTAGGTCCTACTTCTTTATTTTAATTTTTCGATGTGCTTCTCTGTACTCAAACACAAAACAAAGAGACTAAAATTGTTCTTACCTTCTACCTCCATTTATTCTTTAGCGAGACATAATTTTATACCTGCTGTCCCTTTCAGGGTGATCCCAACGCACGGTGAGTTGTTGGAGTGCGCCACTGGTAGGTCCTACTACTTTACTTTCCATTTGTCGTTTTCATCTGTATGTCTTGCTTTTTTCCCGGTCTCTAAAAATAACCGTTACTGTGCTGATGTGCTTCTCTGTAATCATACAAAACCCACCGCCCACCAAAATTACAAGTAAATGGCCGACCAGAGAAGGCGATACCTCCAAAGTTGACAAGCAGTCGATTAGTAGCATGATCCCTGTACTGCGGAGTTTCCCTCCTCTGGGGGAGCCCCGCCCCCCCCCCCTCCTTTCCCTCCCTCCGTCACCCCTGTCTTCCTGTGGCGAGAAAGACAACCTTTCCCTCGGCCCCCAGATCTGTTAATAGTTTCAGGGATCAGGAACATAGAGCGTAAATATTTTCCAAAATCTTTTGTGTATTGGTTTAAGCTCCTGCCAAATTCCCCCTCGCATTTAGCATTTGGTGCTAACAGCAACACTGCAGGGGAGAGAAGGGGGCCCTACCGTAAACTTCCTGAAATGTGAACAGCGCGAGGCGTAAATGTCTTCTCAGTTTCGGAAATGATCCGTTTATGTTGAGAGATTTTCTTATGGTAAGTTTCTAGGCATGCCCTTCTCGTTTGTGAGGTAATTTGGGAGGTGAGTGTATGTGTGTGAGTTGGGGGGGGGGGACTATTTTTATGTATTGAAGACTTTGTTTTGGGAAGAACAGGGGATGGGGGATTGGAGATGGGGCAGAGTGGCGATTAGTTCCTGGAGTGTTTGGTTTTGGTGTGTTGAGGTGTGGGTTTGAATGCACGGGTGGTGGTGGCGCAGAGGAAAGGAAGACGACGGTAAGGACGAAAATGATGAAGAAGACGAAGAAGAAGAGGAGTGACAAGAGTGGAAGAAGAAAATCACAAAAGGGGGGGGGGTGGTGGAAGAACAGGAAGGAAAGAAGAAGAAGAAGAAGAAGAAGAAGAAGAAGAAGAAGAAGAAGAAGAAGAAGAAGAAGAAGA